ATAGCAGTCTTCACTTTCAGTGAGATTTTTGCATAGACTTAATCCTGGTTAATGGCTTTTGTGTACACCTGAAAACAATATATACCTCCTGTTAATAACAATTATGAACTAAAGCTTGGTAATGGTGAATTTAATCGACCTTCTTATGTCGTGATCTCCAGCTCCGTTCTCAGCTGGATGATGCAATTGCAAGCGAATGTCCATTTTGTGGTGAATTGATGATCCGTCAGATCTCTTTGCCTTTTATACTCTCTGAAGAAGCACTGCTGGTTAATTCATGGGAGATAAAACCACAAAACAACCTTGCGAACATGAGGACCCTCTCTTTACCGGTATGACCATACCCGACTTCTGTGGCTGCTTGCTTGCCATTTAGTGTTCTGCTTGCTTGTGGCAATATAATTATCAAAATTTTAGATAGGTTTTGAAAGGGTTTTTGCTGCTTGTTTATCCATATGGAATGAAGAGTTCCCACCTTAAGAACCAACAAGAATAAGGGTGTTGTTATTGTTATTTTCTTAGTGTTATACATTATTAATTGTAAATTTGATTGTTTTATTTTTGTAAAAAGAAAAAAAAAACACATAGAAGAGTGTCACATTTTAAGGGTATACTGAAATATCTGCTGTACTCAAGTTGGCGCTGCTGATAAGATGATGCTATGTTTCTATGAATTTTGTAAATATATTTAATAAAAAATATTTTTTTATTTAAATCAGAATTTAGTTTTAATCAAAAGTGACAACATAAGAAATGATATTAGTGCACTTGCTCAAAGATATGCTGTCATTGACCGTGATGAGGAATGTGGGGTATTGGCCATTCCAGTCTTTAGTTCCATTCACAATCTGCATGCTAAAGCTACACTAGATCTTTTTCCATGTACTTGCATTGATTGGGATATCACTTTACCCTTCACTTGTCTTTGGAGTAAAAGGATGCTTTTTTTGGCTCAGTCTCACCTGTGAAACTTTTTGCTGAAGTTTTCCATGTACTCTAAAAGATTCCAAGGCTGAAAATAGGCGGGCCTAAATAGATCTTCCCCTTGTACTATGTTTATTTTAATTGGTGTCGTTACCTTGTTGTCATCACACTGTAGTTGGGTTATAGGAACTAGTTCTTGGACTTTGGAGATAGTCCCAGCCTTCAGTATTTCCGCATGAGGTGGTTCCTCTCATGATTCAAACTTGGACCCCACGGTTGGTAGTCCAAGATTTTTACTGTTCCATAAAGCAACTGTTTCCAGTTGCATAGCTCATATTTGAACTTGTTAAATTCTGTTGTCATCTAACTGAATTTATTCTTCTCAGGTTTGTAAGCGCAAAATCTTGATTGTGGGTGGGGACTACCGTATGTCTCGGGGCTATACATCAGTAGGACAAATGGCTCCCTTCTATGTATTTCCATGTGGGCATGCCTTTCATGTGCATTGCTTGATTGCCCATGTGACATGTTCGGTCAATGGAACTCAAGTAAGTTGATGTGCAGCATTTCTCACATGGTATTTTGGTTAAATGCTACTGTTGCAAATTTGAGAATCAAGATGACAATTTACTCGGTAGGTGCAACTTGAAAGTCAAAGTAACTTATAATCTGATTAAATAGCCAATCATAATACCATTTATTTCTACTTTGAATATTATAAAAAGCACATCCATTAATGGCTACAACATTAATCAAATCGGAAAGCATCACTTGGAAATGCATTATGTTTCACTAGCACGACCATTAAAACTACTAGGCCTCTGCTGGTCAAACCCACCATCCTTTTCTCTTGAGGATGGAAGAAAAAAAGAGCATTGATTGGTGACAACTTTTGCAGATTGTAAGAATTGCATTTGTTAGTTTTATAGTTAGTTCTGAAAAGAGGAATTATGCTGGCAAAATTGTGATTGAATGATCATCTGGATTGTGGATAACTATATCTGCACAAGCTTATTATTCTACTTGTGCCCTGAAAATTGCTTCTGCATTTGTGAAATTTCTGGTTGTAAAATATCTCACTTGCAGGAACTTCGTATTTGATCTGACCTTTTCAACCTCTTTTTTGTTTTTTGTTTTTTTTTTTTCAAATGAACGATGCAGGCAGAATATATACTGGATCTGCAGAAGCAGCTTACATTGCTTGGTGACGGAGCGAGGAAAGACATGAATGGTGGCATAACCGAGGATTCCATTACTAGCATGACTCCTGCAGATAAGGTCTGTTGTATCTATGTCATTTACAAGTAAACATTTAGCGGCAATATGAAGTAGTTTCTAATTTGTAATAGCAGTCTTCACTTTCAGTGAGATTTTTGCATAGACTTAATCCTGGTTAATGGCTTTTGTGTACACCTGAAAACAATATATACCTCCTGTTAATAACAATTATGAACTAAAGCTTGGTATTGGTGAATTTAATCGACTTTCTCATGTCGTGATCTCCAGCTCCGTTCTCAGCTGGATGATGCAATTGCAAGCGAATGTCCATTTTGTGGTGAATTGATGATCCGTCAGATCTCTTTGCCTTTTATACTCTCTGAAGAAGCACTGCTGGTTAATTCATGGGAGATAAAACCACAAAACAACCTTGCGAACATGAGGACCCTCTCTTTACCGGTATGACCATACCCGACTTTTGTGGCTGCTTGCTTGCCATTTAGTGTTCTGCTTGCTTGTGGCAATATAATTATCAACAATTTTAGATAGCTTTTGAAAGGGTTTTTGCTGCTTGTTTATCCATATGGAATGAAGAGTTCCCACCTTAAGAACCAACAAGAACAAGGGTGTTGTTATTGTTATTTTCTTAGTGTTATACATTATTAATTGTAAATTTGATTGTTTTATTTTTGTAAAGAAAAAAAAAACCACATAAAAGAGTGTCACATTTTAAGAATACTGAAGTGCCTGCGGTACTCAAGTTGGCGCTTCTGATAAGATGATGTTGTGTTTCTATGAATTTTGTAAATATATTTAATTAAAAATATTTTTTTATATTTAGTTTTAATCAAAAGTTAAAAGTTTTAAATTTAAATTTACTATTTTTCAAAAAAGTATATTCAAGTTATTTTTAATCTAACATACTCTTAACTTAATTCAGTTTTGTTATAAATTATAAATTATTTATGAAAAAAACTAAATCAGAATTTAGTTTTAATCAAAAGTTAAAAGTTTTAAATTTAAATTTACTATTTTTCAAAAAAGTATATTCAAGTTATTTTTAATCTAACATGCTCTTAACTTAATTCATTTTTGTTATAAATTATAAATTATTTATGAAAAAAAAAATTGAATCAAAACTTTAAGTCAAATTTTACTTTTTATAAATTATGTCAAAGGGATTCTTAATCACGAAACTTTTTGGCCCTTAAATTAAAATTGGCTTAAAATAGACCGTTGAAATTAAGAGTTAATCACCTCCATCATGCTACATCTTGGGTACCGTTACAGTTTACACTTCATGCATTTAAAAACTATAATTTCTACCCTAAAATTAAAATTAATGGAGTTAACTTTTATTTCTGAATTCTTTAAAAATTCAGATTTTTTTTTAAATAAGCTAAGAAATATATCACTCTCATTTTATCAATTACACTCCTTTCTAAAGAAATATTTGTGTTTTTTTTATAATTTATAAAATCAAGTCAATTTCTTCTTTTTTAAAAAAAGATTCTATATTTTTTTTTTTAAATAATTATATCATTTATGTATTTAACTAGTCTTGTCAAGTTAATTTTGAATATAATAAAAAAATGTGTTAATGTTGTGGATATATTTTAAAATATCAAGATTTTTTTAATTAAGAAACACAAATATGTTTATGCTACGGTTAAGATTTCAAATCAATTTTTAACATGAAAAAAATAATTAATTTATTAATATGTTTTCACGTATCATATATTTATAATTGAGAAATAAAAGGATGTTTATGCTTTATAAGATAAACTAAGAAATATATAAATTTATAAATTAATACTAATTAAAAATTAAAATGGAAAACTAACCTTCATAATAAAAATAAAAGATAGATGCACAAATAAATATTATACACTGCCCTTTTTCTTTAAAATATTTTTATTCATTTTATCTTAGTGGTTGAATATGTTGCTAATAAAAAATTATTTATGTTTTTATAAAAAATTTCATATAAATGCATTTAATTCATATAAAATATAGAAAAAAAATTCATTAAAAATCAAAATTATTTTAAAGTATCATGTAATTAAAAAAAATATATGTATAAAAATATATATATAGGGGTGAAAACAAATGAGGTTATACACTGATAGATGAAACCTATACGTCTAGCCGTAATAAAAAAAAAATCTAAATATGCCCTGTGTTTTTTTTTTATTAGAAAAGGTGATGTCTACTCCTATATTTAAAAAACAAAAAATTAGACAATAGATAATTTATTTTAAAATCAGGATCAAGGATTCCAAAAATTCAAATTTTAACACTTTTTATTTTTTAAAATCACCTTTAAAATATAATATAAACTTTTAAAAATCACATATCAACCTCAAAACACTCTAAAACATTCAAAAACAAAATCAACCAAATAACAAACAAATATATCCATGTTTTTTTTCCTAAAATATTTATAGAAAACATCTTTTTTGAACTCCTATATAAAAGAGGAGTCCATAAATATAAAGATTATTCTTATTGGTGGTTAAAATGTAGTGATTCCACATCTTTCTTTGTCTTTCATCTTTTTTTTCTATTAATTTCTCTTCTTTTTCAAAACTAGAGAGTGAAAAAAATAAATAAAAATAAATTTTTAAACTAAAATAGCTTTTTGAGTGATTTTTAAATTGGCCACATGGTTTTCATGTGTTTTACATTCTCTTTCTTTGAATGTTGTTTTTCTTTTACAAATTTAAATCATCTCATCAAATAGACCATAAAAAAACAATAAAAAAAGTTTAAATATGAAAATTAAAAAAAAATAGAAGTGTTATTCGTATAAATAACACCATCCCAATTCTTTTCATCATCCTAAAAATAATAATATATATTTTTAATAAATCATTCAAAAAATCTTACATACAAACAGAAGGAACACATTTTACTTGATTTTTTTTAATAATATTCAAATGCAATGAATAGTAGAACATACAAAAAAAAATTAAGAGGCCTTGATGTTTCATTGTATGCACATTTAGAATATTATAGATTCCTATAATGTAATGACATTCACTGTCTTTCTAAACAAAAATAATGAACCGGTCATTAGGGGTAAAATAAATTTTTTATTAGGATTTATTAGTCATTATCATATTGATTCGGGATAAATTGATCTTTTTATATTTTTTTAGCACCGTAAAATAAATTAATTATTCTTAAAGTGAAAATCATTAAATTGATATTTAAGGGTTTTTAATGCTTTTCATTTTTTTAATACAATAAAATAACTAAATTATCCTTAAAAGAAACAGTTACCAAACTTGCATTTAAGAGAATTTTTTTAGCTATCATCAAGTTGATCGAGTTCCAATTTAGTTATTTAATAATTATAAATATTATTTTTAAAAAATAATTGGCACATGTAATGCATATGGCAGCATGTGGGTTGTGCCTATATCATTCAGACAGCAAGTGAGAGGGCTTCTAGCTACCAAATGATAGCTTTTAAAAGCAATATTTGAATCATCTTAGTTGTCCCTCTATTTCTAAACCACATGTGTGGCTAATGGATTTTCAGTTTGACATCGACAACATTGTTTTTTCTTATTTTCTTTATCTTTCTTGATTTTTGCACTTAACCCTCTAAATTTTCAAAACTACCCTTTAATTTTTTTTTTCTTCAGATTTGACTCATGTTTTTATTACTATTTATTTTATTTGAAATAATCTATAAACTAAGAATTTTTTTTTATTTCATCCTCCTTCAATATTTTTATCTATTAAATTTGATCTCTATTCTTTTAATTGTTATTTTTTTTATTTGAAATAATTTTTAAAATTGAATTTATTCTTGCAATTTGATCCTCCTATAATTTTTTTTCCTATTAAATTTGATTATCATTATTTTGATTACTATTGTTTTATTTTGAAAAAATTTTAAATTGATATTTTTTTCGATTTCATTCTTGAATATTAAATTGGTTATGAATTGAGCTTATTGATTGAGCTCGAGTTAAGGATATCACGAGTTGCAAGTTTGAAAGATTAACCCAAGTTTAAGAGATTGACACGAATTTGTTTGTTTTTTTTATTTTATTTTATAAGCTTATTGTTTTTAGTTTTATCCTTCAGCATTTATTTAATTGAAGTTTAAGTTCCATTATTTTTTTATTTACTTTCTATAGGATTTTTTATTGAGTTTGAAATTCGAGCTATTTAAGATTTGTTTTACTAGTTGTTGTTTGTTAAGTTTAGCTTTTTTAAAAGAAATCTTGTTTTAAATTAAATTAAATTAATTGATTAAATATAAATATGAGATATTCACTTTATGATATCTTTATAGGTCGTTGCTCTTACAACACTTGTGATCTTTTTCAGTGTCATAGTGCAACCTTTTGTGTAAGGGTGATAAAAAACTAAAAAACCGAGAAAACAAAAAAAGAAAATTAACTGAAAAGGCCTTAACCATAAAAAATAAAATCAATTACAATATTTAGAAAATTTTTTGGTTCGGTTTCATAATGCTAAAATCAATAAACTCAAATCGAACCAAACCGGTTCAAATTAAAAAAAAAATTATAAATACCTCTCATACAGACACGTCACACAACCCACACCACACCTCCTCAATCCTCACAACCTCCCATAACATTCAAAACTCACAAGTCTACACCGAATTCTTTGTTCTTTAATCTTTATTAATTTCATTCCATAATGTTCAACGGTTATCACTGTCTTGCAAACCAACCAACCCCACTTAAGCTTCCACATGTCATACCTAACCTTCCAATCTTCATTTTTCAATTTGCATCTCCAGATCTATCATCCTAGTAACACCCCTATGCCTCAGCAGTAGTAAGATTTCTTCTTTTTTTTTTTGCCTAATAGTTTTTGTTTTTTATTTTAGCACCATCTGCTCGTGCCATAAAAATAGAAATCCAACAGAACTTATTGACAGAAAATAAAAATTAATTTGACATTTAATGATTACTTATGAGTAATGAAATGAGTTAATGAATATATTTAATTAGGTAGAAGAGAGATAGAAAAATATGTAGCTTTTGATGATAAGTAGATCAGTCTTGGTGGTGGTTTGGGTTGTTGGGTTATTGGCAATGTGTTTTCTAATAGAAACTAGTGTGGTTTGGTGATGAGGGTGGCTGAAACAAGTGACTAGTGGAGGCAACAAGGGTAGGGGCTTGACTTAATTCTATAGTTTAGGTTGTTGGTAATTACTGAGTTTTTTTTTATTAAAGGAAGATGGGTAAAGAAAATGGCAATGAGCACTTGACAGTGTTTATTGTGGTGGTGATGATTTGTATTTAAGAGTATGGTTTTCGGTGATGTAGGTTTTTGGGTTTGTGATAGTGAAGAGTGATTGATTTATGTGAGAGAGCACGATGTGTTTTTATGGTTTTGAGAGAGGTCATTTGTTTGAGAAAAAGCTGGTATGGATCAACACTATCGTGGAAGCTATTGGTGATGAAGATGAGTTTGATTTTGTGGTTTTTAGACATTAAAAAACAATATAGATTTTTTTAGTTTTTAATATAAAAAACCAAATCGAACCGAAACCGATTTGTTGGAATCGAGTTTATTTTTTTAAAATTTATTTTGTTATAGGTAAAAACCAAACCTAATAAGAAATGGTTATTCCTACTTTCGCGGTTGCATTTGAATTATTTTGGTGGAATTATTTTGGTGAGCTTTTTCCAATAATGAGGCGGTATTCATGTAG